TTCTGACATCATGTAGTTCTGTAGACACTATATAGTCAAACGTAAGTGGACATCAAACCCTCACACCTATTATATGACCAACAGTAGCTGGACACCCCTAGCAATGATTGAGTTCAGGTGTTTTTTAGCAAAGGGCACTGCTGTTTCTGCACCATACATAACAATGTAGACAATTATGCACTTCAGTTTGGTGAAGGACCTTTTTCTGTTCCAACATGACTGTGCCCCTGTGTAAGAAGCCAGCTCCATAAAGCTGTGGTTTGACTAGTTGGTTGCGGAGGAACTGGAGTGCCTTCACAGAGTCTTGAAATCAGCCCTACTGAACACCGTTAGGAAGAACCAGAACAAAGATTGCGAGTCAGGTCTTCTCATCCAACATCAGTACCCGCCCTCTTTTGGCTGAATGGGTACAAATTCCCACAGAAACATTCCAAAATCTGGTGAAAAGCCTTTCCAGAAGAGTAGAGGCTGTTTTATAGCCATCAAGGGAATAAGGGAGGAAGCCATATACTTTATATTAATGCCTGTGGTTTTGGAATGGGATATCAAACAAAGTGTGATGGCCAGGTGTCCACAAACATTTGGCAATTTGGGTGTAGATAATTATGCTTTTCCAACCTCGGGACAACAGTTTGGTGAAGGCTTTTTTCTGCTCTAGCATGACTGTGCCCCTGAGTACTAAGCCAGCTCCATAAGGACATGCTTTGACCAGTTTGGTGTGAAGGAACTAGAGTGGCCTGCACAGAGCTCCGATTTTACCCTACTGAACACCTTTGGGATAAATTGGAATGCCGATTGTAAGCCAGGTCTTCTCATCCAACATCAGTTCTGACCTCAAAAATGTTCTTTTGGTTAAACAGACGCAAATTCCCACAGACACACTCCAAAATCTTGTGGAAAGCCTTCCCAGAAGAGTGGAGACTGTTTAGCCACAAAGGAAAAGGGGGGGGGGGGTTGTATGGGTAAACCCCCCCCCCCCAAAAAAAAATAGCTATCGTTTTGGAATGGGATGTTCAGCAAGATCATAAACTGTAAGTGTGAAGGTCTGAAGTCCAGACTTTAGGCCAAATCCTGTATCTGCCCAGTGTGTTCCTTTATGAAGGGGCACTCTGGAGGAGGTGTGAGCCGAGAAATCTGTGTCGCTCATTAAAGGGAATTTCCCATGAGAGAGAAATAGGCGTTGCGTCTCAAAATACTAATTGCCTTTCCATACTTTACCATCAGCAGTGAGATAAGAACTTCCCATCTCATTCCCGGTACAAAATCGTGTCAGGCTGCTCGGAACTCCGAGGAAGCTTTATATTCTATGAATGGGCCAGCTTGGCCCAAATATTCTATTTAAAGGGACATAAAGGTGCAGATCAGCGTTAACTTTACACACAAGATCTGATGATGTAACTACAGAGTCAAAAATTGTAAAAAACGTAAAATGCACTAAGATTTGTCACGTCATTTTCATGTGTAGATTCTAATAAAATTAAAGGCCCATGTACATTTTGTAGTGCATGTGGGGGGGGGGGGGGGGGTTATTTACTAAAACTGCATGGTGCAAAATCTGCTGCAGCTCTGCATAGTTATCAATCGGCGTCAGTGTGAACTCAGGCTGAACCCAGGTTCTCACTTATGCGGTGCGGCACATTGCATGTGATTTGCACAGGAACCGTATCGCATTCCTGTGCAAATTGCATGCGGTTTCTGTGCTATGCAATTTGAGCCATACATTTTGTATGGCTCAAATCGCACCGATTCTGCTCCAAAAAAGTGCAGGACCCTTTTTTAGTCTGCACCCGAATCTGATCGCGTGGGTGTTCACACTCGCGTGATCCAATTCTGCACATCGCACTGCGTTTTCTGATTTCGGGGTGTTGTTAACTTAAAATACACACCCACAGCGGTTCGTTTGGATTGGGTGCGATTATAATGCGGTGCGGAAATTGCACAGAAACCGGCGTGAATTGCGCACGACATCAGTGTGAATCCGGGCTCAACCTTTCCACAAAACGCAAAAGTGCAGGACCCTTTTTTAGTCCGCACCCGAATCGGATCGCATGGGTGTGAACACCCATGAGATCCGATTCTGCACATTGCACTGCATTTTGTGAACTGATCTTGGGGTATCGTTAACTTAAAATACAGATCCGCAGCGGTTCGCATAACCTGGGTGCGATTAGGATGCGGTGCGAAAATCACACAGAAACCGATGCAAATTCCGCACCGCGTCAGTGTGAACTCAGGCTGAACCCGGGTTCGCATTTGCGCGGTGTGGCACATCGCATTCGATTCGTACAGGAACCGCATCGCATTCCTGCAAAATCACATGTGTTTTCTGTGCGGTGCAAATTTGAGCCATAAATTTTGTATGGCTCAAATCACTCCACCGCATCCGCACCAAAAAAGTGCAGGACCCTTTTTTTTAGTCTGCTCCAGAATCTGATCTCATAGGTGTTTCACACCCATCGGATCGCGTGGGTGTGCAAAAAACCCCTGCGATTTTTGGTGCACATCGCACCTGCGGTTTTGCGAACTGATCTCGGGGTATCGTTAACTTAAAATACAGACCCTCAGTGGTTCGCATTAACTGGGTGCGATTAGGATGTGGTGCGGAAAACACACAGAAAACTATGTGAATTCCACACTGCGCCAGTGTGAGCTCAGGCTGAACCCAGGTTCACACTTGTGCAATGCGGAACATCACATGTGATTCTCACGGAACCGCACCGCATTCCTGTGCAAATCACATGCGATTTTCTGTGGGTGCAATTTGAGCCGTACATTTTTGTGGCTAAAATCATACCGCTTCCGCTCCAAAAAAGTGCAGGACCCTTTTTTTTAGTCCGCACCGAATCGGATCGCGTGGGTGTTCACACCCACGCGATCCGATTGTGCACATTGCGCTGCGTTTTGCGAACTGTCTCGGGTATCATTAACTTAAAATACACACCCCCAGCGGTTTGCATAAACTGGGTGCGATTAGGATGTGGCGCGGAAATCGCACAGAAAGCGATGCGAATTCCGCACCGCGTCAGTGTGAACTTGGGCTGAACCCGGGTTCACACTTGTGCGGTGTGGCACATCGCATGTGATTCGCACAGGAACCGCACCGCATTCCTGTGCAAATCACATGCGATTTCTGTGTGGTGCAATTTGAGCCTGTACCTTTTTTGTATGGCTAAAATCGCACCGCATGACCAAATAAGTGCAGGACCCTTTTTTTTTTTTTTTTTTTTTCTTGTTCTGCTCCAGAATCGGATCTCATAGGTGTTCACACCCATGCGATCCGATTCTGAAGCAGACCAAAAAAGGGTCCTGCATATTTTTGGTGCACATCGCACCGCGTTTTGCGAACTGATCTCGTGGTATCGGTAACTTAAAATACACACCCGCATTGGTTAGCATTAACTGGGTGCGATTAGGATGCGGTGCGGAAATCGCACAGAAACCAATGCGAATTCCACACCGCGTCAGTGTGAACTCAGGCTGAACCCGGGTTCACACTTGTGCGGTGCGGCACATCGCATGTGATTCGCACACAGGGGCGGACTGACAACTCATGGGGCCCCGGGCAATAGGGGATCATGGGGCCGCTGTGTCCTTGCCCAAACTCAAAAAAGCCTTTGAAAAAGGTATTAGGGGCATCTCATGGGGCCCCCTACTGACCCCGGGCCCTCGGGCAGTGCCCGAGTTTCAAAATGGTCAGTCCGCCCCTGTTCGCACAGGAACCGCACCGCATTCCTGTGCAAATCACATGCGATTTGTGTGCGGTGCAATTTGAGCCGTACATTTTGTATGGCTAAAATCGCACCTCATCCGCACCAAAAAAGTGCAGGACCCTTTATATTTTTTTTCTTTTTTCTTTTCTTTGTCTGCTCCAGAATCGGATCTCATAGGTGTTCACACCCAGGGGCGGACTGACCGTTTGGAAACGGGCACTGCCCGAGGGCCCAGGGTCAGTAGGGGGGCCCCATGAGATGCCCCTGGTACCTTTTTCATAGGCTTTTTTGAGTTTGGGCAAGGACACGGGCCCCATGATCCCCTATTGCCCGGGGGCCCCATGAGTTGTCAGTCCGCCCCTGTTCACACCCATGCGATCCGATTCTGAAGCGGACAAAAACGTGTCCTACATATTTTTGCTGCACATCGCACTGCGTTTTGCAAACTGATCTCAGGGTATCGTAACTTAAAATACACACCCGCTGCGGTTCGCATAAACTGGGTGCCATTAGGATGCGGTGCGGAAATCGCACAGAAACCGATGCGAATTCCGCACCGGTGTGAACCCCGGGCTTAGTGTTTACATCTCCTTTTTCCGTAAATATTCCACGATGGGATATTAATGAGCTGCATCTGTCGCGGTAGAGATAAATACTATGGGGGGCTTCTGTACTGTGTGTTGTACAACCCTGCGGCCTATGTTTCTTTATAAAGCAGATGTAAGCGGCCCGTTATAACAACACGCAGGCCGCCGTGCTACAATATGGGAATCCATTAGGGTTAGGCGCAGGAGCGTTGTCTGCGATCCAGGACCACAATCCTCCGCTCTGGACGGCCTCCGTAGGAGAAGGCCTGGAATAAAGTGCTGAGCTGTGCAGGAACCCCCGGGAATATTGCCATGGAAACAGAGCGAGACAGACGCAGCCGGAGAGACGAGGAAAGGCGTTCAACCTTGAGCTAGCGGGGATCTCTTCTGCGGGATTGGATCAGTGAGAGTTAGATTACACGTAACCGCCATTTATATTTAACCCCATGCACGCCGCAGCGTCTGGAGGGGAAGCCGTGGCAAGCTGGCCATTGTGTTGGGTTTTGTCTCTGGCACTCAAGGGGTTACAACCTCCTGAACAATGTCAATTGGGATCCCCAAAGTGGCTGGTTTTTAAACATTTTTTTTTTTTAAATACGCCCTCCCGTACGATCTGTAGTCTTGTTGTAATATTGTGTTTAACATCTCTGCCCTTTTTTTTTTTTTTTTTTTTTTTTTTTTTTTTCCCCCACTAGACATCATCATGGACCCAGCAGCTCCCGCCACCCGCATGACCTCTTCCTTCACCATCAACATCTCCACGCCCTCGTTCTACAACCAGCCCAAGAAGTTTGCCCCCGTGGTGCCCCCGAAGCCCAAGGTGAACCCCTTCAAGGCCCCGGAAGAAGCAGAGCCCAAGAACGCCCCGGTAGGGTCCCTGGAAGGCCCCGGCATTAAGGCTTTCTTAGGAAAAGTTGGAGAGATCCCGCCCCCGGCGCCATCTAGCGGAGAGCAGGAAGGTAACGGAAACATGTGTGCGGCGTGTTCTGAGGAAGATTGTTTGTGACATTTGTATCTGTTTACTGAGCGTTTCCCCGGAGGAACGCGTAGGAAGATGATTTTCGGATTGCGTGTTTTCTGAAATGGGTATGACGTGTTGCGGTTGGCTGTGTTTTTAACCCTTGGCTTAGTCAGCGGCATGACCTGGATGTGGCTGCTTACCATGAGATCAGAATCGACCGGGCTCATTAACGAGGGTGGAAGAGGGGCAGTAAAAACAGCACGTTGAGCTGCGTTTTTACCAACCCATCAGCCACTTTACATTGGTGGCAGAAATTATTTTTATTTCAGGTACTTATAACTGCACAGATAACTGGCTGATTCAGGACCCCCTGTGGCAACCACTGTGGAAGGGTCCTTGACCAACATTAGACGAGATAACATTTTGCAGGGTTCTCCAGCAATTATGCCTGTTGTATTTGGCGGGGGGTCCATTACAAAATAATGAGATCCATCAGCTGCTGGTGGTTGGCAAATACATCTCTATAGTTAGGGACCACACATACAAGAACATCACAGTGTTGGTGTCATGTTTGGAGGAGCCCAATAAATGTTGACTGTGGAGGATATTATAGATTAGACAATGTAGAACACTTAGTGAATTAAATAGGCCAGCGCTTGCCATCAAGGTCACTCTCCTCCATACCAAACAAACGTCTAGCCAACCAATGGCTTCTGGGCCAAAAGCCATTGACTACATGCCCACCTCTGCTCAGATATCAACTGCCAGCTCAGGATTCAGAACTCCATGCAACTAGACAAATATTTATTTATTTATTTCAGGTACTTATATAGCGCTGTCAATTTACGGAGCGCTTTACATATATATATATATATAGAGTACATTCACATCAGTCCCTCACCCTCAAGGGGTGTACAATCTAAGGTCCCTAACCCTCAAGGGGTATATACAATCTAAGGTCCCTGACCCTCAAGGGGCGTACAATCAAGGTTCCTCACCCTCAAGGGGTGTACAATCTAAGGTCCCTAACCCTCAAGGGGTGTACAATCTAAGGTCCCTGACCCTCAAGGGGTGTACAATCTAAGGTCCCTGACCCTCAAGGGGTGTACAATCTAAGGTCCCTGACCCTCAAGGGGTGTACAATCTAAGGTCTCTAACCCTCAAGGGGTGTACAATCTAAGGTCCCTAACCCTCAAGGGGCGTACAATCTAAGGTCCCTAACGCACATTCATAAATACACATACTAGGGCCAATTTAGACCGGAGCCAATTCACCTACCAGCATGTCTTTGGAGTGTGGGAGGAAACTGGAGTACCCATGTGGGCACAGGGAGAACATGCAAACTCAAGGCAGGGGGTGCCGTGGTTGGGATTCAAACCAACGACCCGCGTACTGCCAGGCGGATGTGCTAACCATTTAGCCACTGTGCAATGATTGTAAAGGTTGTAAATGAAGTTACAGGTGCATTCCACTGCGGCAAATTTTCTACAACGCCTCACCTTTGGCAGGCGGTACCTCCATTTAAGTAAATGCGACCATACTGCAATCGCATCTAATGCATGCATTTTCAGTGTGATTTTCCCCCCCCCCCCTCCCCAAAGAAACAGGCATCCCGGAAGCAGCATATTACCTCCCAGCTACCTGTCAGCCAGCTCTGAAAAGCAATCCTCTGTGCATTGCTTTTCATAGCTCACAATAAAACAAAGGCCTTACGGAGTACGGCAAGGGGTTAAAGCAGCTGTCACTTTTTTTTAACTGCCTACAGGGACAATTTTGACATTCTCCATATGTGTGTGTGTGTGTGTGTGTGTGTGTGTATATGTGTATATATGTATATATATATATATATATATATATATATATATATACACACAGGTGAAACTCGAAAAATTTGAATATTGTGCAAAAGTTCATTTATTTCAGTGCAGCAACTTAAAAGGTGAAACTAATATATGAGATATTCTCATTACATGCAAAGCAAGATAGTTCAAGCCGTGATTTGTCATCATTGTGATGATTATGGCTTACAGCTCATGAAAACCCCAAATCCACAATCTCAGAAAATGAGAATATTCCATGCAAGCAAAACAAGGATTGTACATAGAACAATATCGGACCTCTGAAAAGTAGAAGCATGCATATGTACTCAGTACTTGGTTTGGGCCCCTTTTGCAGCAATTACTGCCTCAATGCGGCGTGGCATGGAAGCTATCAGCCTGTGGCACTGCTGAGGTGTTATGGAAGACCAGGATGCTTCAATAGCGGCCTTCAGCTCTTCTGCATTGTTCGGTCTCATGTCTCTCATCTTTCTCTTGGCAATGCCCTATAGATTTTCTATGGGGTTCAGGTCAGGCGAGTTTGCTGGCCAATCAAGCACAGTAATCCCACGGTCATTGAACCAGGTTTTGGTTCAATGAGCCTATTTCATATATTAGTTTCACCTTTTAAGTTGCTGCACTGAAATAAATGAACTTTTGCACGATATTCTAATTTTTCAAATTTCGTGTGTGTATATAATATACTTTTTTTTTTTTTGCTAGAAAATTACTTGGAACCTCCTAAACATGATGTATTTTCTGAAAGAAAAGGCCCTGTAGAATAAAATGCTGGCTGTTGCAATTATGTTTGCCGCACAGTATCTGCGCAGCCGTTTATCAAATGCTGATTTTTCAGGAAAACATACATTTGAATGAATTTTAGTGCACACAAAAAAAAATATAATACCCAATTTTTGGGTAAAATATAAAAGAATATAAAATATTAAAGAGCAAATAGATACAAACATACTAAGAGTGAAAGTGGTTGTAAAGGTTCAAGGTTTTTTTTCCTTCATGCATTCTTTGCATGAAGGTTAAAAAAAAAAAACCTTCTGTGTGCAGCCGCCCATCATCAACCCCTCCCCCGCCCCAATAGTTACCTGAGCCTCATCACAATCCAGCAATGTGCACGAGAGCCTAGGCTCTCCGGGGGTTCACCCTCTTCATTGGCTGGACAGCAGCGGGAGCCATTGGCTCCCGCTACTGTCAATAACAGCTGGAGAACTAGTGAGGGGAGAGATGGGGCGGGGCTGAGCCACAGCTCTGTGTGTGAAGGGACATGCAGAGTAGTGGCTGGGGATTGAGGCTGCTTGGGTGCCCCCGTAGCAGGCTGCTTGTTCTGGGGGCACTTGGCAGGAGGGAGGCACCAGGAGCAGGAAATCACAGAAGAGGAGGATTGGGGCTGCTCTGTGCAAAACCATTACATAGAGCAGGTAAGTATTACATGTTTGTTATTATAAATTCCTTTAATGTCACTTTAAAATTGTGCACACGTGTGAAATGGCAACAAACTACGGTACCTAAAACTGTCCCTAGTTGAGGTTTTAAATGCCTTTTACAGGTTATCATTTTATAAGTAAACAACTGACGCTACAATTATTACTCTCACTTCAGCCAGGAAATGACAGCTCTGACACTGGAAGTGACCAAATTCTTAGTTACCTCTGGCTGCATTCATCACAGAAGAGATGGGGGAATGGTTGTTCCTCCATCTCCTCTATGGGCAGCTGACCCGGCCACTTGTAGCAATCCTGGGCTTCCCGGTGGAACAGAAGAACCCAGGTATGGCTTGATGACCCCTTCTGAGTGCTGTAAAAGTGATCAGACAGCTGTGAAAGCCAGCTCTGCCTCTCGAAACAATACCAGGATAAGGATTGGAGCTGCAGTCATGATTCTGGTATAACCATATGTTGCCGCTGTACCTTTTTTCTTGTGGCCCGCCGCTGTACCTTTTTTCTTGTGGCCCGCCGCTGTACCTTTTTTCTTGTGGCCCGCCGCTGTACCCTTTTTTCTTGTGGCCCGCCGCTGTACCCTTTTTTCTTGTGGCCCGCCGCTGTACCCTTTTTTCTTGTGGCCCGCCGCCGCTGTACCCTTTTTTCTTGTGGCCCGCCGCTGTACCCTTTTTTCTTGTTTACCTTTTTTCTTGTGGCCCGCCGCTGTACCTTTTTTCTTGTGGCCCGCCGCTGTACCCTTTTTTCTTGTGGCCCGCCGCTGTACCTTTTTTTCTTGTGGCCCGCCGCTGTACTCTTTTTCTTGTGGCCCGCCGCTGTACCCTTTTTTCTTGTGCCCGCCGCTGTACCTTTTTTCTTGTGGCCCGCGCTGTACCTTTTTTCTTGTGGCCCGCCGCTGTACCTTTTTTCTTGTGGCCCGCCGCTGTACCTTTTTTCTTGTGGCCCGCCGCTGTACCTTTTTTCTTGTGGCCCGCCGCTGTACCTTTTTTCTTGTGGCCCGCCCTGTACCTTTTTTCTTGTGGCCCGCCGCTGTACCTTTTTTCTTGTGGCCCGCCGCTGTACCCTTTTTTCTTGTGGCCCGCCGCTGTAAACCCGCCGCTGTACCCTTTTTTTTCTTGTGGCCCGCCGCTGTACCCTTTTTTGTCTTGTGGCCCGCCGCCCGCCCGCCGCTGTACCCTTTTTTGTCTTGTGGCCCGCCGCTGTACCCTTTTTTGTCTTGTGGCCCGCCGCTGTACCCTTTTTGTCTTGTGGCCCGAAGCTGTACCCTTTTTGTCTTGTGGCCCGCCGCTGTGCCTTTTTTCTTGTGGCCCGCCGCTGTACCTTTTTTCTTGTTGCGTCCCACCACAAGAAACAAGGTACAGAGCTGGGCCACAAGAAAATGGTGGAGTGTCCTTCTTCTTCTTGTAGCTTGGTCCTTTGCTTTTCATGCCATAGTGCTCTCATCCAACCACTTTTTCACATAAGCCTAGGGTGCCATTGTTGAAGTTCCCCTGGAAATGCAAGTTTCCTGGCAGTTTAATGACTTGCTGGCTTCAGTAGTTTAAGAGTCAACAGGTTGTAAAAAGTATGCAGATTTCGAATCCAGTATCCAGGTCAAGGACTCAAAAGAATTGATTTAGGAGGGTCAACATGACAGCCAGGCAACTAGCATTTGCAGAATGGGATCGGCACAGCCTCCAGGTATGTTGGGAAGGTTCATTGCAATCTCTAAGTGTTGGTTGGTGATATTT